ACGCCCATTGCCCTTTCTGGCGAATGGTCGTCCATTTCGCTCAGTACTGTTTGGTACTGGGCGCGGAGCACTACACTCGTATGCGTAGTGCCCTAACTTCTGACAGCGATTGCACCTCTGCAATCGCTTGTTGCTTGTAGAGCGAGGTCTCTCGCTCTCAACATAACAGAGGTCCATTGGTTCTGGACCTCCGATCTCTTGTCGTCTCGGTGGACGGTAAGAGTTTGAGCTAGCATGAGCCTGTCTCATGCTAAAGTCTTCCTGTTCCGCGGCTGATATCGCTTCTTCAAGCGTATTCAGCTCAAGGCGGAACAGGTGGCTCCTGACGGGCCCTTCTGCGAGCCCTTGCATGAACACCGTAATCAACGTGTGTTCATGAACTGGGTTTGCAGTTATACTACTCGCAAGGAGTCGTATATGTTGTGCGTAAGCGTGCACATCACGCTTACCCTGCTTGAGTTTCAGGAGCTCTGAACGAGCCCTGAACTCAGCACGTGGCGGCTCAAACGTTTGTCTGAGCCGGGACTTGAAGTCATCTAGCGACCTAAACACGTTTGGGTCGCTACTCTCGAGTCCCAGGGACCAAGTTTTGGCACGCCCTGCCAAGTGGGTTTGAGCAAATGTGAGTTTCATTTGCTCATCTTCGACGCGACGAGCCCTTAGGGCTCTGTCGAGTTCGACAAACCATAGTAACAGGGAGTCCTCCGGGACTCCACTGTACTTGGAGATGTCGACTTTCATCACTTCGGGACGACGCGCATGCGCCGTCCCGCCCACAGCAGCATGGAATTGCTGCTGTCTCAACAGCTCCGTCTGTTGAGCACCGAGTTCTCTCAACTGCTCGGCCTGTTGAGAGCCTTGCTGGTGAAGCAAGGCTACTTTCTCCCTCTCGAGAGCAAGTTCATTGTGAATGAACTTGGCGATAGCAGCATGTTGTTGGTCTCTGTCTAGAGACTCCAACATGGTGCTGACGACGAGTTCGCCTACGGTAGAACTCATTCGTTCTACCGCACCCCATTCGATGTCACTCAAATGGGTAAACCCTTCACGCGTGGCGTGAAAGGTGTCTTCTTCATCCAACATGTTCATGTTGGATGATGTGGTCCTTGGAAGGACTACAAAGTGCTACCAGGTGTAACGGGGCACACCCTTGCGTAACTTAACGCAAGGGATTTGGGTGCCCCGACGGACGTACACGTGGCGAGCGAGGAAGCGTAGGTAGGGTAAAAGTAGAACTGTTATATTAATAAATTAAGTCTTTAACTACTGTCTCTTCGTTTGACTTAATTCAATTATACTAATATAACTGCATGTATGGTGACGTCTCGTCACCACTCATTGCGCGCGTCTTGCGGCGATTGGTGGGTTGATATCATCACGATATCAACCAATGAACAGACCCTTTGGTCGACCCTTCAATATCACCACTTTGGCGATATTGTTTAAAGAATATCCATCTTATATTCTTTATTGTCACTTTCCTTAAGTGACAATATCATGTAACGGGCTGCCCCGTTACACTCGTCGTTTTTTTCGATATTTCTTCTGGCGAGTATGTCTATCGGCAGCATACTTTGGTTAATGCTACGGTGTGATTGTCCATTGCGTGCTAAGTTCCGTTTGAGGGACCTCATCATTTGCTCCTCTAGATTTATTACGGAACAAGTCATTCGCAGACCTGTACTCCTCTTTTAATGGCCTTCGTGCGACATCACAGATACAAACGACGGACGGACTTCACCTTCTCGCAAAACAGCTCCACGTGCGTCTTGTACACAGTTTGAGTTGGCTGCATGCTCCACCAGTTCCATCGCAAAGCTCATATCGCCAGACGTGTTCGAAATGTTGCATGGAGGCCTCGCTCGAGCGATGCATAAACTGCGGCCATCTTGATTGCATCTTTTATTCACATTTGCATGACTCACTTTGATCATACAAATGGTGGCATTATTTGACAATCACTTCTTGATACATTGTATCGTACGCAATCTCTTGTTACATTCATGTTGACAGACGTCTTCGACGTATGTGACATAAACGAAAAGGATCGTAAACCGCTCTGAAGCCGCTTTGTTTTATCAAGCCGTTCCATTTGCAGTGTGACTGATTGCGAGCACACTCGAGTAAGATAGCTCGCAGAATAGAGTGTCGTCCTCGTTGCAGGCGGTGTTTGTACATTCCGGCGCCCAAAAAAGTCAGTCCCGCTGCTGCCGTACATGAATAAATGCTTTGTGGCACGGACCGTACTGTGCTGTAGCCTCAAAGGGTTGGCTGCAGATTATGGGCGTCTTTGATCTAGAACTGTGTGTGAACGCTCGCGGTCTGATCAGCGTTTTGTATGCGAATACGTCCCCACGAAGCCTAAATATAGCAAAGGCGTGTTGCTCGTCCTCCGCTGATCATATCAGTGCATCTACTCATCTCTTCGGTACATGTCACGCTTATTCTTTGCAGAATACAACGAGTTTGAATCATCATCTTGTTGAAATAATGTGAGTGTAGTTCTGCGGAGAAGATACTACCGATTGTGGTCATCTAGCCTTCAGAATCTCACAAAAACGAAACGGCCTATGAGGCTGGTACACAATTGCCCTGTTGGGTATCCGTGCCAAACACTTAGGTCAGGTGTCAAAGGCAGTCGCGCAGACTGCACTACGTTGCGGTATTCTCGGACGTGGGGGTAAGCAGCGCCGAGGCCAGCCCTCTCATGCAACTTACAACGGCGGAGAGATAAGATTTGACGGCAACAAATCACTTGACGACAGCTGCGCCAAGCAAGCAGTAACGTGTCTCATTCGCACCCGATCGCTCGTTTGCCCAACTCCGAATTGTTTACGTCTGCATGGCGTGCGTTGGACCCGCTGGTGCTCATGACATCGTTACAACCCTGTATCCGTGAGACGCCGGGTCGACGATTGGTCTTTGTCTGCTCTCCTGCATGTGCGATCGATCATCCGCACGTAACATGTCGAGTTTCTGGGCGCGATTGTACGACTCGTACTCCACTCGAAACTTCAAGTGATTCGTTACAAGTGTCCTGCACCCTCTTGAAATGTTCAGCTCAACCTTTGGGCTACAAACGCGTTACGATCTTATGCAGCTCACGATTCTACTTGTACATCCTGTTCGACTCTACAGCTTTGATGCACGTCGACAGCTGTTCTAAGGCGACCACAACTGATCGAGGTCAAAGGGATGCAGCTTTGCGACCCTGCGAGCTAAGCTGGCGACGTCTGACTAAATTGTTGCCAATCGTAGTCCACGCGTTCGACACAAGAGTCTGGTTGCACGTCGTCTGTAGTTCCGGATCCTACCGAAATCCAGCTTCCTGCGTTAAATGAGAAATGATGCGGTCGCAAGTTGTTGTTGCCCATGGTTGTATGACTAGAAGCATGTCGACCGAGCCTGGAGCTTCTCGAGCATCCCCCGTGGCTGTAACAGATGACTGGCGTTGTAACAGTAGATGGAAATTTCGAGACGCGGCATCAATCGACCACGAACCTTGCGCCGATTGCCTCGAAACGCTGCCGATCATCAGTAGTAATGACAGGTGTTTCGCGGCAGGCAACGTGCCTGGTAGCACTGCCCATGTGAAGCGCCGCGCGGTCGTCGAGAGCACTACTTCGGTCGGGACGCGTCAAAACGCGTGCGATGTATTGTTTGGTCATAACTTGCAGAGACTACCGCAAGCGTCGGCAGCGAGTAATCACGTTGCGAATGATGCGCCCGCGTGTCGCTCGCATGTGTCCAGTGCATACGAATCAAATTTAATTTTTTCTTTGCCAGGCGGTCCGGCACGCGCCCAATCAGCCAAAGGCCTTGAAGGCTTCTGCCCCGCCTGGATCTTCGTCCGCGAGTCGTCGACGCCCTTTCACCCCCTCGTCCGTTTCGGATTGAACAGAGACGCGGGCATCTTGATGGACATCTGCGATTGCCATCCGCCTCTTGTGCGACCTTGTAACGGCCCGAAAGCCAGTGAGTGCACTGACAGACGAAAGGCTTGCGTGTCAATGGCGAGCCCAGACCATGTAAAAAATATGTGCACACAAGTCGATTTATGTATGTGCACTGGCAACGGACGCGCTTGACGCTGTCGCTGCTACAGGAACGTACTGACGCTATTGCACGGGTTTGAGACGATGGCCACTTCGTAGCGCTCTTTGTCCTTCGGACCGGACCCGTGCGTCGTTTTTGTTGGGCCCTCTCGCACCAGAGCAAGTCCAGACCGGGGGCAGCCCAACCTCCTCCTCCTCCTCCTCCCCCCACCTTAGTAGACGTTACGCACGAAACCGCGCCAAAAGCGTCAGTCTTGTCGCGGCGTCGCCAAGAGACGTGCAGATCTGACCAGGTGGTCGGCTCGCCTTTCAGAGCTGGCGACAGCAGAGAGAGAGAGCACGCGTGCGCGTGCGAGTAAGCGAGCGAGAGAAACTGACACGATCCCCCGACCCGTTGATCGGCCACGAAACGAGAAAAGCGCTCGTGGTGGTAGTAGTGGCTGTCACTTTGCAATCGCCAGCAGTCTGCGCACGTCGCCTGCGGTTTTTGACCCACGGACACGCAAAGCAGTGCACGTTCGCTCTGATCCTCTCCTTACCGCGTTCGAAAGAGAGCCAACAGCGCTTTTCGGGGCGAGCGGCGACTACACGACGCGCGCTGTCCAAAGCCGCTCAGCGCGTCCTTTTTCTCGTGCATCGACCCCCGTCAGGCGAGGCGACACCTGCTCTCCTGTCTCTCTACGAACCGCCGCGTCGCACGTTGCGCGCTGGTTCGCTCGTCGACTTTCTGCTGCCCGTCGTCGTCGTCGTTGTCGTTGTCGTTCTGGTCGTTCTGGTTGTAGTTGCTCAGGGCGTTGTGCTGGCGGTGGATATCGTGGATCGAGCGGACATAGTGCGAACGCCTTTCGTGTCACAAGGCCATTGACCTTTTGCCACTGTTGCTGCCCGTCTCGAGAGCTCATTTCACAATCCATCACGTCGCCCGCCATTATTGTCTCGTCTCGAATGGACTCGACACACAGTTCTGCCCGTCGCGTTGCCATGCGACTCTTGACCGCATCGGACCCGTCGAACGGCTCGCAGCCACGAGGCCGTCTCTCGGCTGTCGACGATTTCGTGCTGGCGTCGCCGGTATTGACTGGCAAAGCCGTGCCCGTGACTTCGCCAAACCCGGCCAAGAACCCGCTCCCAGGGCTGCAGTTTGCCATGTCGGTGCAACGCGCTCCGAGTCGGGAGCTGCGGCTGCCGTCGTTCGCCAGCCCGTCGTTCGACGAGCTCGAGAACGCAGCGACACCTGCTGGGAGCAGCGCCGAGGAAGACGAGCTCAGTGAGAAGAGCGCGACGCAGCAGCCGCGACGCAAGAAGGGCACGCGGCGCGGAACGCTGCACCCCGAGGCCAAGAACGTGCTGAAAGCCTGGATGTTCTCGCCCGAGCACTTTGCCCACCCGTACCCGAGTGAAGAAGAGAAGGAGGAGTTGGCAACCGAAGCGGGCATTGAGGTCAAGCAGCTGTCGAACTGGTTTACCAATGCCCGCAAGCGGCTGTGGCAGCCCGTGCTGCGTCAATCTGGAGTCGAAGTCAAGAACTTCTTGTCCACTGGACGGGGCGGCCCACGCGGCAATAAGCTTGAGGTGCCGGCCAATCTTCACCAGCTGGTGGCGCAGTCGCCTGTGCCGAGTCCACCGAGCTCGCCTCGCAAGCGCTCGTGGTCGGCAATGGGCACATGCACCTCGCCTTGCACTGCTCTGCCGAGTGGCGCGGACGAAAGGAAGCACGACAGTAAGCGCAGGAAGTGCGCTGGACCGCTGACGAGCAACGCACACTCGAAACGGAGCAGCAACTTGCCGGTCGAAAGGATGTTCTCTCAGTTCCAAGAGCTAGAGCTGCTCGCGGCCACGTCCCTACTCGGGCTACAACACTTGACTCAGTCAGTCCATTAAGAACCTTCAGAAGCCAAATATACGTTTGATATTTATTTGTGATACATTCCTGGAAAAGTTGCGCCCCCGTGCAGTCTGATTGATCACGCTCCTTGCATCTGCATACCCTAAACGTACCTTCACCATTCACGCTTGTAACCGCATGTGCGTGGTAGGCACTGCTCATTCGGCTTGTCGCATTGCAAAGGTCACTGTTGACAGCTTGGCGACTTCCGCTGTGCCTTTCGTGCCAAAAAGCGTGCCCTTGCTGCGGCAATTGCGTCCTCCTTGCTCGGTTTTGTCTCCTCTTGGATGCATCGTGGTGGCGCTGGAGCGTCAGTCGTGGCATCAATCTCCTCCTGTAGAGGCACAGCGTTACGCACGCATACAGTCTGATTGTTGTCAAGTAATTCTGTGCCACTCGGTTTCTCAGCCTCAACTTCGTGACACGCCTTCACGGATTCACTGTCGTGTCCATCAACACCACCACCACCTTGCTCTGCTCTTGTCGGTTCTTCACGCATCACATGTGCACTTCGAGCTCCTTTCACCGTGTAAGCGCTCCGTGCGTTGGTCATTGTGCCGCCCATGGCAATGTTTTTGTTCAAATTGGCGTAGAAACTTGCCATTGCATGCTCGCCCTGTTTCATGACGTCCTCGCGCTCTTCCAATGCAGCGAGACGCGCATCTTCTGCGTCCCAATTTTGCATCTCCTTCAGCTTTCGTTTGTACGATGCAGACACGAGCTTCTCCTTGTCACCATAGAGCGCATCGTCCGCTTGTCGCTCACGTAGCAGTCGTCGCTCCCGAATTCGTTCGTTCTCCACCTCGCGAATCTTGGCCTGTTGCAAGAGCGTACCAATGTACTTGGGCTTCTCCTTGTCAGCATGTCGCTGCTCCTTTCTGTCCAGAGCTTTCCTCTCCCTCTCGGTCTTCATCTCGTCGTAGACGCCGTCATAGTCAAAGACCGACGCGTCTTCCGCCAGCGCTTGAGCCCGCACTCGGTCCACTCGGCTTTGCTGCAGACCGTGGGCTGCTTCAGCGCCTACTCGAAGACGAACGTCGTGCTCGCTGTCCTGTTTTTCTTCTGTGCGATTGGTCGCAGCGGCGGCACTAGCAAACGCACTACAAGCCGAGACGAGTTCCTAAGAGTTCAATCCATACACAAACAAAGCGTAAGAACAACACGGCCAAACACACGACACTGACGTGCAAAATGGCATCGGTACCGTCTTTTTCGCGTTCGCTTTCGGGAGCACGAGGCCGTACTGCTTCTGCCGCGACGCAACGGGCGCATTGGACGAGTTCTTGACACCCTTCTTGGCCCCCGTGAGCGGCATGGAAAACGTCATTCGGATAATGACGGTCCTCAGCACCGTATGACATCGCATAAGTGCGATTTATCGATCCCTGGGATAGAAGCGGTACGGGTTCAGTCAGTCAGTCCCTTTGAATCACGCAGTGGTACTACGTCCATCAGCCTTAGGCGGAAAAACGAGGACTTGCTATACCTCAAGTCGCTGTACTACCGCTGTAGACGCCGCTCATAGAGCAGACGAAATCCATTCAAGAGCCAAACGAACGCTTAGGTGTGATGTTGGAAACTTTCATTCATGAGTACAAGAGACGGCAGACTCGACTACTCCATAGATTGGCAGTTGAGAGCGGACCGAGATGCTCTTTACTCTTTCTTCGACGCAGCGTGCGCTTTTTTCTGGGCCACACGCGCTTGGCGCTGCTGGCGCGAACGCTTCGCTGGGCGCTTGTACTTCTTGTCGAACGTGTGGTCCTTCTTCGGGGCCGGCGACGGGTCGGCGCGAATCGCTTCGTGCACCTTCGTGATCACGTCCTCCAGATCATCGGGTTTGATCCCGGCCTTGACGTACTCGGCATAGTGCGACGCAAGCATCTCCGGGTCATCTTCCTCGAGTTCCTTCATGTGGTCCGACACGTGCACGGCAAAGATACGGTCGCGGTGCACCTCCGCATCGTAGCTCTTGTCGTCGCGACTGTAGCCAGGGAACCGCTTCTCGCTGTGCGGGATATCCAGTCCAGCGTCCGCTGCGCCCTTGAGCGCGCCAAACACGCGGTGGCCAGTGGTAGTGGTGCGAAGCCCACAGTCCAAGTAGCAGCGGAACGGACGCTTCTCGTCGGCCACCTCGTCGACAAAGTACGTGCGGCCGTTGCTCTCCGTCTTGACGATCTCGCCATCCACTTCCGTATTGCCTTCGTAGTCCTCGTCCAGGCCAAGTTTCTGCAGCACGCGACGGCCAACAAGCAAACCCGTGGCGTAGGCAGCCGCGTAGTTCTTGAGCCCGACCGTCAGGCCGTACCGCGGGAGCTCCGCCGACGTGGCTTGCGCCAGGATCTTGTCACCATCGATCTCGGCGTAGGCGATCTGGCAGATCACCTGCTTGTTCGTGATGCGCACGACGAGGCGGTACTTGGGCGAGTTGTACTTGTTCTTGTCCTGCGTGATCAGACGCTTGCGGGCTCGGTAGTCCGTCTTGCCCTCACGACGACGACGGTACTTGACCTGATACCGCTTGAAGTACGCCTTGTTCTTCAAGACTTTGACGAACGGCATAGTGGATACTGGACGAAAGTTTCCAAACTGACCTCCTCCAGCGAGCAGCTCAGCTGCACAATCGGGCGCGCGCTTTGGTTGGTTGGGAACGCGGGTGGGTCGCACTCAGCGAGACCGTAAGCGGGCGTGATAGTAACCGACGACATGTTTCGACCAATCAGAGGCGTGTCGAGCCTCCGAGTTTGCACGAATGGTAAGCGTGTCGGTGCCGTAAGAGCCGTTTGATTGGTGGAGACGCAGGCGCAGAGATGACTGGCGGGCAAACAGCCTGCGGGGCGCTCGTCACTGCTTCTTAGTTTGTTTGGCGTTCCTCTTCTGCAGCAACAATGGTGAGTCGCGCGTCCTCTTTGACCTGTACTTGCTTGAGGTGCCTGATGTCTGACGATTCCAATGTATGTTCCGGATGCACTACGACAGACGTTTACTCGCTTCGTTTCCATCGGTCGTGTGGTGCTTATCAACTACGGCCCGGACGCTGGTAAGATTGCGACGATTATCGACGTCGTGGACGAGAACAAGGCACTCGTAGATGGCCCGTTTTGTGTCACGGGTGTCCACCGTCACATGATCAACTTCAAGCGTCTGTCATTGACGGACTTGACGGTGGAGATCCCGCGTCAGGCGCGCGAGAAGACGCTCAAAAAGGCATTGACCAAGGCTGACACGTTGGCCAAGTGGGAGAGCTCAACGTGGGCCAAGAAGCTTCAAAACAAGAAGACACGCGCCGAGCTGAATGACTTTGACCGCTTCAAGGCCATGATCGCGCGCAAGCAGAAAAGCTCTCTCGTTAAAAAGGCTGTCGCTGCAGCCCGCAAGAACTAAACATTGGGCTGTTCACTTACTTGAGAGTGCTATCTTTTGGGGTCAGGTACCGGCAACAAAGACATAGTACGCCATAGGGATGCAGCTGCTGCAGACCTCTGTTGCAGATGCTGATGAACGATGCAGGTTTGGAAACCAGTCACTGTTTCAATGGGGATATTTGCAGAATACACCTCCATGCCAAACGAAGACGGTGTTTTTCTTCTTCGCAAATAGTGTGTCGATGTAGTGGTCACGCAAGCTTGTTCCTACTTGTGTCTATCTGCACGTCTAGTCATTACTGTACTGCAAGTATTCGTAGTAGATTGAGCGGTACGTGCGACACGGACGGCTTCACTGAACGAAATAGTTGGTATCACATCTTGAGCCTTGCAATCTCTTTCGATGATATAGCTCTATTGTCAAAGATGTTGATACCATTCATATCTACAACGAGCGACGCATCAGCATCATATCGGTCTGCCATTTCGTCAAAGCTTGAAGGGATGGCGTTAAAATTATAGGCTTTTACGATTGCCGGCGAAAAGTAAGAGGCCTGATCGTGACCGCAAGACTGATATACCTGATCTACAAAAAGGTGTTGCATCTTTGATGCCTTTTGCCCTCACCTCTACTAGTTACCGCTCATCACCCTCGGTGAAAGCATGCGTAAGAAGCTGAGTCCGCATGCTTTATGCCTTACTAGTCAGATAACGGAATTTATAAGAGAGTGTGCATACGGTAAAAGCCAAACGTTTCGGTAGCTACTTTCGGTGTAAAGAGGGAAAAGGTTTTGAGTTATAGTCGGGTACGCGTACGACCCATTATACCCGGCTTTGCTAGCCACTCTCCAGCTGTGTCCTCGTACCGCCCCTGCGCGGATATCGATTCACGTGCCTACTGGTCCCGAATACAGTGCTTTACCGCTCGGCCGCCGGGGTCGGTTACTTTCGGTGTCTATCAATAAGTCTATATGTGAATGTTTGTCTGTGCCAATTTGGAGACACATCACCGCGTGGGAATTTGTCTGTCAATGATATAAACATGTATTTATATATGTAAACATATATAGATATATGAGTTGGAATAATGAAAACGATCTGTCATGTAGAACCAGCAGCAGCATCGATACAACTATATCGGCAGCAGTCAGGATGGAGAGAAGGCGGCTGCTTGCAACTACGCCGTACTTCGCATGAATCTAATACTAATGAAAAGTCGTAGGATGTAGTGTATTTGGCTCTGTCAATATTCATGATTTACCCCGCTGTAAGGCCAATCACACGAACGCTCGTCGAACATCGAAGGCAGCAGGAAAGTACGCTTTGGCGCTTGTTAAAACAGCCTGCACCTGCACACACCGCCCGTGGGCTTCATATACTCTATTTGCATAACAGGAATGTTTTGTCCTTTTATATTTTTAGCCTTCAAAGAGACGCGTGTAATGAAGATAATAAATGAGGAAACTTTTCACTTACTTTGACATTCTAGGGTCGCATTTCAGCGTCTCTAGAGATAGGTGGATCACATTAATATTTCACCGCTTATAGTTACAACACTATAAATATGACTATTTGTTTTCTGGTCAGTACATGAATAGTGTGAGATCATCTGACTTCAGAAACGAGGGCCACATTGTTCGAAAGTTATGAAAAACAAGATATGTGATTTGCTAAATAATTGCAGGATGACGATATAATTACTAGTAAAATAAAACGCAATGCATTTGAGTATACACTTAAGTGGCATCATCTATAAACAATTTTAAAAATTTAAATCTATCTCAGAGAAGAGAAATTAAGCTTAGCATTGAACTTTTCTCAGATATAAATGTATCGTAGACTTAATGAATCAGGCTTAAAATGAAAATTGATCAAATTTATTTATATCTCAGAGACAAGATATAAAGCTTAGCATTAAAATAAACGATGTGTGGTCACATAATATCTCGTCTGTATTCTGAAGGATGCATGTCGCGTGCGATGTCGCAATTTTCGCCATCGAATTTGCAAATGCTATTTTTCAGGTTTACGTGTCGACAGGTTGCGCTGTGATGGCAATGCAGAGACACTAACGCATACTCGTATCAATATAAATATATAAGATCAATTTTGTAAAAAAAATCACTTTAAACAGATACTTATAAATAAGTATACCGTCGTGTACAGGTCGTAAATCGGCGCAATGCCACAATTTCTATCAGAATGGCCTCGATGCAAATCCAACAATTTTGGCCGCTTCATAGACGCAAAGTGTATATCTGTATCGACGTTTAATTTGGCAAGTGATGAGCTCTCACCTAATATTTCACACTACTCCCATCATCAAATCTTATGCTTCATTTGGACCAATTTATGTTGATGTCTCAGTCAGGACGCATGAGCCGAGTTAACGAAGAAAGTTACCGCCACATAATACATCTACTTTTTCCACTATAACAACAAGAAATTTATTCTGCATCTTACTAAGAATAGTGATTTAAGATTCTCATAATACAACCATCGATTGAATTCGTGGAATGGAGTCTGGGTTAGGTCGACCATATAATTCTTGCCTTTTTTTATCCGAAGGGTCAGTATTGCAGATCGATGTGCTATAAACATATACAATTTGCAAAGATGATAAACGCTGCGCAAATATAAAGCGGAAAATTACAAATTTATTTGCGCAGAAATGAACCAATACAGACCGACTCGAGCCAAGATTCGGAATTTCTCGAACGGTCAGGAGACACAAATGAGTATTCAGTAATACGGAAATTGATCAAGATGCAAATCCTAGCCGTCAAAATGACGTGGGCAAATGCGCTTACGGTGATTTGTTGATTGGCACTATGCGTTTTGCTGTATATCTAGCGAGATAAACGCACACTTTTCTTACAGTCATATATCTATAGATAATTGACCACTGGGATGTTCGGTCACGTATGCTTACAAGCCTCATCCATGTATTGCTTTCTTACTTATTGGTTAAGACTGAAAAGTGGTCTAGCTATGATTGGACGAAGCAAAATACGCAAGGCCCGACTCAACATCTAGTGGTCAATATGATATTTCCGTGTCAAATCCTTCTCTGACCTTGAACATTACTAAAAGCTGCTGATAAGCCCCAAAGGAATACTTATGAAAATCTACGGTGTATACGATAGGGGGACGCTAAATACATTGGGCAGTATTGCTCAATACTACAGCAAGAGTAGTATCACATTAAGGCCACGTCCATTCAAATATATTACAGTAAAAGATAATCAGAAATGCACCTGTAACATAGCCATGTCAATTTTATATCTCAACATCGGAAGCATTGTGTAGTAAAACGTTTCACTAGGTAAGAAAAAAATGTAACAGGGCACCGACAGCTACGTACTGTTCTGCCAGTTCAAGTCAACTTTCACTGACAACAGTAAATTATAATTCTCTGCTAAGTGTAAGCACTACGGAGAGGGGGGATGATCAACTAAGACAAATCTCAAGTTGTAGGAATATGTAAAACTGTTATTTAATTCAATTAAGTCCCATAACTCCTGTTTCTCTGGTTGTACTGAAAATTTTTTTATAGTAATAAACGTACGATGACGTCTACTCACCATCATTGAGCGCGTCTATCATAGATTAGTGGGTTAATATCAATACGAAATCAACCAATGAGTAGATTCTTTAGTCATCCCAACAATATTACTATAAAATATAATAACGTTTAAAGAATAATTAATGTAATATTCTATATTGCCATTTTCTTCTTGATGGCAATTTCATTTAATGGAATAACCCGTTACAAAAGCAGTCAACCAAAGACTTTTTGTTGCTATTTGCCGCGATGTATCCCATTTGGCATCCATGGTCGAAAACTGTTTAGCACCACCAAGTCGAATAAAAACTTATCTTATCCGTGGCACAACGTTAGGTCTTAGCTTCAGAAGCGTGCTTACGCCTCCGAAGTCATTCAACAGCCTCATTCGTCCATCTGGCTTCAATATGAAGAATGCAAGATACGATATCTCGGATTCTTACAACTGCTTAAGCACATCGAGATGATAAGGCTTCGTATCTCCTTGCGCATATCTTATTCCTGGCTGTTTGCCACAGGAACTGGTCTTTACTGCACGGGTTTAATATCGTCGGTTGCGGTAAAAAAGTATGCTGGCATCTTCATTTTATCCAAATGTCCATCGTAAATCTCCTTTTATTCATAAAGAAGCGTTAACATTATGCCTTGTACATCTAAAGTGATAAATGCATCGCTGATAAACTCAGTAGACTTGACTTTCATTACGAAAAAACGTTCGTTTATCCGTGGTATTGTTTACATATTTGCTTAATATTTGCCGTTGCTTACCTGCACTACAGACAGATGTCTTGCATAATCGTTCTACTGTGCTGTCTCGGAAGTTGACGATCAAACTCAATGCAATGTAGACGTATTTTCCGATTAACATTGCATCATTTGCATCTTCGATTAAGTTTAGGCTGTGAGTAACAAAAACATTATTATTTAAGTTGGGGAAGAAGAATTTCTCCATCGTCGATACTGTCTTTTCCACGAAGTCAGCAACCTATTAAAACTTCATGGGATTGCTTTTACTTCCTGGTATAGTTGCTTGTTGACCCTGAAAAGTGTTTCATAAATCAAGCTGGGACATATCCGGTATCTAGTAGTGCCAGGTAGGTATGGCTTGATATATCCTGTGAAAGATTTGCGTGCAGTCTCATTGGTGGTGTTGTCTTCGGTTGAGCAGCCAACATGCTTGTAATCATATGTACTTCTAGTTGTTCCTCTTGGGTATCGTCATAGCTAGATGAGTTGCAGCTGTTGGTTTCTTCCACAACTTTTGCGTCCCTTTCTCCCTTTTTTATCTTGTGAACATACTTTAGGATGCTGGTAGTCGCGCTGTGTTTGCATTATTGCTTAAAAAAATTCTTTGTAATTGTGTGAACCTATCTTATGAAGCTTTCACCACATCTTTTCATGGAGGCGTTTAAGATTGTGCTGCAAAGTGTTTTTTCTTGGTCTTGAACGACTTT